AGCCAAGAGTCAGGAACTCCATCCCGGTCTCCCACCTGAGTGTCAGGACTCCAAGTCCTTGGATCCTTCTTTGCTGCTTTCCCAGGCACGTAAGTAGAGAACTGGACTGGAAGTAATACAGCTGGAATTCGAAGTGGCACTCATATGGGAAGCTGGCATCGCAGGCAGTGACTTAACCCGGTGAAGAATAGTAGGAAGTAAGTTTGTGAAAGTTGATTGAAACCAACAAAACTGTCTTAAATTTAGGTCAAGGATTGTTTAGGTAATGGGAAGCCTGTAAGGTAATATTTTGCAAATTCAATTTTATGGGCCACAGCTATTTTTTTAGTGAAAGGTACTAGAATAAAATAGAAAATATCAAATACATTATACTTAATGTAATTACTTTTAGTGTACCATTGCATATGTGTGTTAGTGTACATACACATGTTATATGTATGCTAGGTTGTTAGATTATATGTATTTCTTACTGTTTAAAAATTCTTAGGCGGGGCACCGGATTCTGTCCCGGTTGCCTCTCTTCCAGGCCAGCTCTCTGCTGTGGCCAGGGAGTGCAGTGGAGGATGGCCCAAGTGCTTGGGCCCTGCACCCCATGGGAGACCAGGATAAGTACCTGGCTCCTGCCATCGGATCAGCGCGGTGTGCCGGCCGCAGCGCGCTGGCCTCAGCGGCCATTGGAGGGTGAACCAACAGCAAAGGAAGACCTTTCTCTCTGTCTCTGTCTCTCACTGTCCACTCTGCCTGTCAAAAAATAAAAATAAAAAAAAAATTCTTATGGTCATACACATTTGAAAGCCACTGTTCTTAAAGATTACAAAATAAATGACTTAGAATTGTAGGATTAGAAAGTGACTTCAAGGTCAACAAATTGAAATACTGCTAATTCAATAAATGGATTAGAGTAGCGTAACCCTATAGATTAGTTCAAATTGAGAACTAAGATACTAGGCCAGTTGAAAGGTTATGAGTACTTGAACTGAGGGAGTACCAATTGAAAAACTGAAGGGAGGACATTGAAGAGAGGGATTGAAAGGACTTGATGATGGCATTTAAATAGTGGCAAGGAGCCTATATAAGGCACCTTCTAAACTGATGGCTCTGTGGGTAACATACAGCTTTCGCTACACAAGACTGATAATCACAGTGAATTGTGATGGCTGTGTATTAGAAAGGTTGATATCTGAAGTTTTGCAGCATCTTGTATTTGCCATCTCTTTAATTTGGCTTAGGAAAAGGTGTTAGAACTGTATATTAATTGATCCCTTAAATTCTATATAGGGTTTCTCTCCAGTCTCTCACCCTCTACAATTTGTCCTGCAAACTCTTATAAGGTTAGTCTCACATGTAGATCTAGTCACATTTCTTTATTAAAAATCTTCATTGCTTACCATTGATTCTTCCCCATTAAATGTAATAGCCTTTTTCCTTGAACCTTCAGAAAACATTGTAGCTCCCTTAAAGTACTTAATCTACCTTCATATACAAAGCTAGTGCTTCTTTAAAAGTTTGTATGGGCTTTGTTTAAAGATTATTAAGTAAAATGAGGGGTAGGGATATTGTATTTCATTCTTTTTTGTTCCAGTAGAATTCATGGACTGTATCAGGCCTTGTGAAGAATGCTACTCTTCTAGAATTCAGTAATTCCATCTGTAAAATGTGGACATAGCTTTCCTTTTATTTAGCTGTTTTTGACAACAAATGGAAACATATATGAGAACTTCTTTAGGTTTCTATAGTGAAAAAATGCTATGAAAATTAATCTTTTTTTTCCCCTCTACTTGTCAACCTCACGTCAGTCTCAGGTCTTTCCTTCTCCTTCATTCTCTAGCTTCCAGTATAACCCAGTAAAAGTAAGTCATTTTTTCCATCACATATAAAGTTCCGCTAGTGAATTAATATTCAGAGTTGCTGCAAGTAGACACTGAAATGAATGTAATTCTTCTTGACTTTATTAGTAAGTTAATGCAGAGAAGAAAAAGAATGATAATTGTTCAAATTGTGAAAGAGGTTTTAATGGGAGTAAATTTATATCATAGATTGGATTGAATTTATCCTCCTACATTTATTTCCTATAATTTTTGACCCTAGTGAGTCTTTTTTAGACTTTTTCAGTTAGATAATTTAGCCTGCCATGACATGGGGGATTAATAATTTCTATCCAGTTTCCTTATATGAGTAAACTGAGGCAGGAGCCATTTTAGAAAGAGATAAATGGATAAACCCAAATGACAAAGGTTTTCATTTAATTGATGCTTTATCTCTTTTAAAATTTATTTTGCTGTGTTCTTTTAGGAGTTAATTCCATACTTATCTTTAAAATCTAAGCAGTGCATTTTTTTATTAACCCATTTGTGAAAAGCCTCAAGCAAGAACTTCCATTTGAAAGTTTGATGAACCAGGTTTGGAGGTTTTATACTTCTCAAAGAGTATATGAAGAAGTCATTTATAAAATGGCTCTTTGAATGTCCAAAGGCAGTAAAATGGGGCTATTATTTATGCTCCTGTAAGGAAAAGCAGTTACCTCAGAGCACCAGCGGAATTTCACCATACTTATTTATAGTAGCTACAGTGCTGGGCCACGTGATTACTTTGTGTACATGCACACAGTTAGTGCTTATATATCCATAAAAATAAGTTCACAAATCAGGAAATCAGAAGCTATTTATTAGGCATTTATTTTTCTTGTGAGGGATTCTCTGCTTCCTACTATAGAATTGATTCTGGAGCCATTGAAGCAGCTCTTGGTCTATTTTAAGAGTAGTTCCCTGTGGATTCTTTCTTAGGTAGTAATTTTGCAATGTGTTGGGGGGAGAAGCAACATTATTTTATGAGTAATCTGTGGTCTTCTCTTTTGAGCTTTTCATAATTTAACTCTTTTACACATTTTGATGGTGGGGAAATAGGCATTTGGCCTAGTGGTTAAGATGGTGGCTGGATGCCTATATCCCAAATCCAAGTGCCTGGGTTCCACACCTGGATTTGCTCCTTATTCCATTTCCTGATAAAATGCCCTCTGGTAGACAGCACGTGATTGTTCAGGGAGTTGGGTCCATGTCACCTACATGAGTGACCTGGATGGAGTTCTTGGCTCTTAGCTTCTCCCTGGCCTAGCCTTGGCTCTTATGGTTATTTGAGTGGATAAGAGCTGTCTCTGTAGCTCTCTACCTATCTCTCAACTGTCGTTCACTTGGTGCTCAGTAGATTAGCATTTAGAAACTTTTATAGTAATTTGAAAGAGTAGTGTTATAAATTGACTAATAATAAATTTGACTTTGTATTTTGTATCTTAAAGATTTCATTTACTGTAATTCATTTTTATTGTATTTTACAAAAGATTCTATCATTAAGGGTTTGGAAAAGTTTTTTTTAAGAAGTGACAAATAGTTTGAGAAGCATTGTTCTAAGTGTAGGGCAGAATCAGACATTTTTCCTCTGCTCTCTCATTGCAGTCAACACAGAAGACTTCTATAGCACGAAAGGTATGGAGGTTTCTCCCTACCCTAAGTAAACAATACTGACCTACTGATTACAAATTAGGGTTCTCACACCTCCTCTTCAAGTTGATTAATTCGCTAGAGCAGATCACAGAACTCAGAGAAACAAAATATTCCCATTTACTGTTACATTATAAATATTTTAAATACTATAAGTATTACTTTAAAGGATACAAATAAGCAACCAGATGCATATATACATAAGGTCAAGTCTGAAAGCCTTGGAAACACAAGCACTGCTGTCCCCATGAAGATGGGGTACACCACTCTCCTGGCATGTGGATGAGTTCCAGTTTGCCTTTCTGTATTCTTCTGCATATTCAACTATCCAGAAGCTCTCCACACCCTGTTCTTTTTATTTTATTTTATTTTATTTTATTGGACCACTGTGTAAGCGTTATTGAATCATAGACAACCCTGTCAAAATGAAACAAAAAGGGTGTGATCTATTGCTAGCAGACTCACTGGAGAAATCCACAAGTCCTGTGTGTTCTTGGCCTCTCTATCATTCCTCCCTCAGTATGTTTTTGGATGTTTAAAAACATAACTTCATATAGAGATGCAGGCTGAGGATATGAACAGGCATTTTTCAGAGAAAGAAACTCAGATGGCCAAAAAATGTTCCACCTCACTAACTAAAAAGTCACTCTAGTAGGAATAAAAAATGATTCTAGTTTTGGAGAAGGAGGTGCCCTATGTGCTACCAGAGCCTTATAAATTGGTTCAGCCTTTCTGTAGGATAATTGGCAGAACTGACCCATCTTTACCAAACAATTCAACTTTAGGGGAATTTAAGCTAAGAAAACAACTAAAGCTATACTTGAAGATTTAGAAGTGATTGGCAGTCTAAATTATGATATATCCCTACTGTGGAATGCCATATAACATCAAAAGTGAAGTTTTAGAAATACATCTGTATATAGCATTAATAGAAGGATATGTTGCCAAATGGTCTGTATGGTATAAAAGTTTTATAAAATGTATTTATGCCTAGAAAAATATCTGAAGGATGCATTTTAAAGTCTGAATGCAAGTAGTAGTAAGAGCACATAAATTTTGCACACTTGAGTGTTTTAAATTTTTTTCTAATAAGCATATATTGCTTTTGAAGCTTCTTTGTTGAAAATTTGGCCTTTATTTAAAAATGCGTGGAATGGCATAGGGAGAAAGGAAACCTGATAATCAACAGGAAGTGGACCATTCCCCAGGTCCTTTCTGAAGGTTCATGAGGAGCCTGTTTTTCTTTCAGAGCTGGTTCTTAAAAGCTGTGTTTGAGAGAGTTTTTTTTTTTTTCTGTGACAAATGCCTATCATTTTCTAAACAAGAAAGCCAATGTCCCAGTTAGGTGCATGGAGTTATTTTCATTTGCTCGTGGTCCTGTTGTGTTAATACTGAATAAGCAGAGACAGCCTGACTGGTGGTGAAAGATGGTAAGCCAGCCTCAGGGCTTTTTCTGGTCAGTCCTAAACCTCTGATTGCCACGTTTTCCTAATTTCCCATTTCCAGGGCATCACTAGAGTGACCTTGCTGGCTGAGTATGATGCTCTGAATCTCCAAGATTTTCACATGCATTTGGAAGTGGGCAGCCAGGCGATTGTTTACAGCACTCCAAATGAACTGTGCACTCACAGCAAGTTTGATAAACACACATTTCCTCCTTTTATCAGTGAGATTGCAGAATGTGAAGTATGAGTTTCCAGTTTTACTCATTCCCCTCAACCCTTTTCCTGTTTAAAAACTTAGACATACTAATTGGATTCTGATCTGTCCCTGTTTTTCATTCTACTTACTGGTAGTTGACGGCTTATCCCAATGCTTACCTAGGCAAGGTTTGGCAAATCTTCAAAAATAAACTTTCCATGCATACAACTTAAAGGAGTTTCATCCTAAGGAATGTAATGTGAGCGCTAATTAACAGTAATGACTGTTAATCACTTTGCTTTTTATAGTCCTTTAGGAGCACTGCTATTATCCAATGCAGTTAAAAATGCTTGTATATGAATCAACAATGCTGCATCCTTTTAGCAGCTATTGCTCACAATCAAGATTTGCATAAATTAGATTTAACTAAATTGATTTTAATATGCTATGTTTCAACAATGGTAAACTTAAATATCTAGTTAGATATCCTGAGTATTAAAAAGATACTACCTGATTTATTTTTGTTGCAGTCATCTTTGTGATGATGAAAAACAATATGGAAATAAATTTTTCTCAGTTCATAATGCTTTCTCTTAGATTTCTTTGAAATTGCATGTGACTTCATAGTTACAATAGCACTTTGATTCTGTTGTAAGCAGATCAATGAAAAGCAATAGGCTTGTTTTAATTCTTTCTAAATTTGTATGTTGACTTCCTGGAGGATCTTACAGATTCCTTAAATTATTTAGTCCATTTGTATAAATGTGGTTCACAGGATTGTGCATTCAACAATCATTAAAAATGGTTGTCTTATAGCACATTTAATGTATTATTAGAACATTGCAAAAGCTTTCTGTTTATTTACATGAGTTCAACATACCTATGAGCTGCCATACCTCAGGAGGAGACTAAGCAAAACTCATAAATTAATAATTTAAAGAAACAATACTGAAGTTGCATTTTGGTTAAGTTAATAAGTTAAAGCATTAGAATCTGTACTAACCACTGTAACAATGCTTTACTTTTGACTTTATTGGCTGAAAATAACTTGTTAAACTGGGGCTTTTGTAATAAAATGAAGTTCTACATACCATCTAAAGCCCCTTCCTCTCTTTTGATTTATGAGTAGGTTAACATATTATTGAAGAATTTGTAACACTTTCACAGTTCTACACTTTGATTTCAGAGAAGGTGCTAATCTCTGTGAAAGTTTGAGAGTGACAAAATGAGTTGTGTACCCCCTTTTGCTGGAGAATTTTGGGATTCTACAATTAAGACCTTGGTTTTATTGTGGTGGTTATGTTAATGTTGATTTATTTACCATGTTATGTGCTGGTATGATTAGATGTATATTAATGTAGTATCTTCCTTTTTCGTTTTATATATTATCTCTAGTTGATTTGGATTATGATGTTATAATTATTACAGCTAATGTTCTTGTTTCTTCAGAGGTTTAGCAATTCAGGACATTATTTTTTAAATACCAACATAAAATAGCTTACCTTTTTTCTTATTTGAATTATTTATAGTGTTAAAATTTAAATTTTTGGTGAGTAAGTGGGCGGGAAAATTGTGTGGTAGTGTAATAAGAAGCTTTAAACTGTATATACTAGTATTGTTGTATACAGTGCAAACATTGAAAATTGGGGGGAATTATACTTAATTGAATTGAATTTCAAAGAATTATAACTGAAATAATGTGAATAGTAGAAAATATATGAAAGCTCAATTGAATGTTATCCATGTGTAATTGTTAGATTTGTGAGTATTGTTTTATATCACTTATTTTAGATCATGCTACTATTTTACAATAGCACAAAATGTGTGTCTATGAGGAAAAATTTGCTTTTCCTATTTTGCTTTGAGTTTTTATATATAATACAATTATATCTAAAAAAGATGAAGATTTCCATTCTCATTATTTTTTCAGTGTTTGCTGTCATTTCAGAGTAATTGATCAGTAGCCCTCATTTCATCCAAAGAGAGGACAAATGGAAGTGGCCTTTTAGATAAAAGTATGCAAACAGACTGCATTCTTTCTGTTGATAGAATTATGGAGAGATTGTAGGAGGTACCACATTCATTTTCCTATTGATTGTGAAGAGGGTTCTGCAGTGGGGTGCTGTTTCCAATGGATAAGGAGGTGCTGTGATTAGTTACCTTTCTCAGGAAAGCATTACAAAGGGAAATGCAAAATGTGTGCTGTGCAGTCTTCTCACTTTGACAGTTGTTTTTGTTAAGTTTTTTCCACCATTGAAGTCCGGCCTATTTTAGAAAAACATACATTTTGGCTCTTTTCCTTTATGTTAGGCTTAGATTTCCATGCATTTGATCCTTTAGAGAAATTATACATTATAGTCAGTTTTTTTTCTAGGTTTCTCTTGTAAAGCTTCAAAGCTGATGCAACAGTGCCCTCTATAGTTTTTTAGTGAATAGTAGATAGATGTAGATGATTTGGAATATTTAGGTTAAAAGCAGCATATTTTAATTTAATTTTTGCTCTAACAAGAGATCCCTTTCTGCTAGGTAGACATTCTTGTTTTTCACTAGCGGCTTTACTTTTAACAAAGGGAACAAAAGACCATTCTGAGTTTTCATTTAGAATTATTAGCTACCTCTTGTTACCCAGTGGTAAATCTCAAGTTTTATCAGGCATTCCTCAGAGTAATTTGAGATAGAAGGAATCTTATAAACTGTACTGTCTCTTCGTGGAATATTTTTTGAAGTTGAACTCCAACAAGAGTATTTAAGAAATAACTTAGTTCCATGGTACTTAATTCTGTTTTGAATTTGAATCTGAGTGTGCTGCCTAGAACTTAACTTGTACTTGTGCCTGCATTAAGTAACCTAGGCTTTATACATGACAGTATTTAAATCTAAGCCAAGAGAATACACAATAACTGAAGTATTTATCATTCATTAGCATTTGTTTAAATTGTAGATTCCTTTCATTTTTGGTTACCTATGTGTATAGGTTAATAGTCATGTTATTCATTATAAAATACAAGGAAAGGTAAAGTTATAAATTGATAATAGAAACAAGCATCATATTTAAATATGATTAGATGAGAACAATTTTCACAGATCAAATCTATTTGCTTCATAAAGTGGTTTAGTAAAAAGACCATGAGCCTAGGTTCCAGTTTCTCCATGTATTTACAAATAGTGTTAAGCATACTTCTGTGTTTTTGTAATATTTATTTTTTATTTATTTGAAAGGCAGAGTTACAGAGGAGGGAGGAGAGACAGAGGTGGAGAGGCATTCCATCTGCTGGTTCACCCCTCAAATGGCTGCAAAGGCTGGGGTTGGGCCAGGACAAAGCTAGGAGCCTAGAGCTTCTTCAGGGTCTCACAGGTCAGTACAGGGGCCCAAGCACTTGGGCCATCCTCTGCTGCTTTCCCAGGTGCATCAGCTAGGAGTTGAATAGGAAGTGGAGCAGCCAGCTCTCCAAGAGGTACCCATAGGGGATGTTGGCTTCCCAGGAAGAGGCTTAACCTGCTTTGCCAGCCTCGAGCATATTTCTTAACTACTGAACCTGTTTTCTCATCTATAAAATGGGAGTAAAAATAGTTTATCCTTTGAGATTTTTGTGAGATTAGAGATATTTATTATATATTAGATATTAGAGAGATATTAGAGATATTATATATTAGAGAGATATATATTAGAGGTAATTTATTTAAATTTGCCAGGCCATTATAGATGCTCAAACAGTAACTTTGTTTTAAAAACAATAGTGCTTTATATGAAGATTTAATGTAAAATATAGAATACACTTAGTGCATTTTAGATTTTTCAAATCGAGTCTTGTAACTTCTAGTGATTTATTTGACTCTAAAAGTTGGCACAACATTCCTTCGTAGTGTGGACTGACAAAATGAGATGTATATCAACTTTTGGCTCCTACAGTTCTCATTCCTAAACTCCTTAACTAGGCCATCTTTATTAATTTTAGTGGACATTTATGCACACACCAGTATTTGGCAATATGTTGAAAACTGATGATAAATAAAACAGGGGGAAGCAAAATAAAACAAACTTTAAACATTTTCTCCTTAGTGTATTTGGGAATATTTAGGATCCTTTTTCTTTTACTTGTATTCTTAGTAATAGTCTATAGCCCTTTATGTTTTCTAATTGAATGGTATATGCTTTCTCCACCTGCTGCAAAGAAAACTGATGTGTAAAGTGGTCAAAGTAGAGTTTTAATAATAGAAAAGATAGGGGCCTAGAGATTATCTCCTTCAAGGAAACGAAGTTTAAAAGCTACTTATTACAGTGCTGTGTATGGATATGTGTATGTACACACACCTTTTGTTCTATGGAAGGACTTTGTTTTACTTTGGTTTGGATTCATAGCACCCAATTCTTTACCTTACATATAAAAGGTGCTCAATTAATGTTGTGCTGAATCAGCATTTTTGAACATCAGGCCTGCCTTTGTTGATATGTAAGATTTGGAATATCACCTGTGTAAAAATGCATAATTTTTAAAAAGATTTGTTTATTTACTTGAAAGGCAAAGTGGCAGAGAGAGGAGGGGAGTCAGAGAGATCTGCAATGTGCTGGTTTATTCTCCAAATGTCTGCAATAACTGGGAATGAGCCAGGCTGAAGCCAGAAGCCAGAAGCCAGGAACTCTATCCAGGTCTTCCACGAATGTGGCAGGGGCCCAAGCTCTTGGGCCATCTTCTACTGCTTTGCCAGGCATAATAACAGAGAACTGGATTGGAAGTGGAGTAGCCCTCTCAAGCCAGCACCCCTCCCCCACCTAATGCAATGTGTGCATCCCAAAAGGTGATTTGACCCACTGAACCACAATGCCAACCCCTAAAAACGCACAATTTAATGTGCCCACATGATATTAAAGTAATTGTTTATCTGTGAACCATTTAAAACAAGTACAGTGGTGTAGCATTGTGATGCAATGGGTTAAGCCACTCACATCAACCCACATCTCATGTCAGAGTACTAGTTCAAGTCCAGGCACCTTGGCTTCTGAACCAGTTTCCTGCTTATGCATCCTGAGAAGTAGCAGATGATGG